ACACTGTGTATGTCTGTTCTGAATCAGCAACCCTATAGAACAGAATAAAATTAAGTGGCAGTAGGTTTTAAGGCTTTATATTTATATTATATTTCTTCACACAACTCTTCAGTGTGGCTATAATTTTGTTTTATCAGGAAAACCTAGATAAAGAAAGAACCTGAATCAATTAAAAAGTACTCTTTCTGTTTAACTTCTGACTCTTTATTGTTTTAGAAGATATCATGCCGGACTTGTTTTGTGAGTACTAAAATTCCCCCTTGTTAAGTACCTAATTTCTTCTCTCCAATAGCTGAAATTCTAGACTCTGGTGGACTCCTGAACCAAACCAAGCCAAACCCACCGTCATCAAGTGAACCCCGAACTACAGTGACCCTGTGTAGGGCAGAGTAGGACTCCTTCTTTGGGTGCCCAGGATTTCTTTTTTGGGGGGTAGGAGGAGTTGTCCAAGATTTTAAATCTTCTTGTGAGCAGTCTCACCTTTCTCCCTCTGGGCAACTGGTGGGTTCGAACCACTGACCTTGAGTTTATCGGCTCAGTGCATAGTCACTACACCAACCAGGCTCTTTGGGTTCCTGAACAGTGTCATCTAATACAGCTGTATAATCACAGAGATCTTTCAGACCTGTATTTTTACCACTTCTTAGAGTTCTGTAAGGAACTCTAAAAGGCATTTTGTTCTTCCTCTCCATCAGGGAAGGTTGCTATGTAGGCGGATAGCTCAGCTGTGGGAAGACCTAGAAACTTACTAGAAGTCCGAACTTCAAATATTTTAAATAATTTTCAATTACAATCGGGGCCCTTATTGGGCATTTTCTTTGAAGTGAATGAATACTGTTCTTTATCTTACCTAAATTGCTGTCATTTTGAAAATCTGTGGTCAAAATAGAGGGATTTACCAGAAGCAAGTAAAGTTTAAGATTCCCTGAAAAAATAATTCCTCAGAGCAAGCTTTTAATTTTGCTTTCACCCAAAGTCTAAGAAAACGAAACCAAACCACTTAATTAAAAAAAAAAATCTGTTTAAGAATAGAGCATTCTCAAATTTTAAACAAAACAAGTTTAACAGGAGTACCTGTAGAAAAAATTATGAAAGCATTTTCTTGTGTGTGTTATAAAAGAATTTGACTTTTGCAAATCAATTCATTAATTTTCAAGTGAGTAGTTTACTGTACACAGCTTACTAGAGTATTCGATTTGCTATCACTAAAATCGTCTTGCCCTTCAGATTGATGTTGTTAGGGGCCGTTGAGTCAGTTCCAACCCCTTGTCACAGAGGAGGAAACACTGGCTGGCCCTGCTGTTAGATTTGAGTCCACTGTTGTAGCCACTGTGTCGACAGTGGGTTTTAGATTTTGCGAGGCATTTAAAGGTTTTGTTTCCTGTACTAGTGTTGGTGTGGTGTTGCATGTTTAATTTATTCAGCAAATTCATTAGAGTGTTATTTATACTAGACAAATGTATTTATTTTTTTACTTGGGCTAAATGGTAAATGGCTCATGGAATAACACACACTTTTGTGACATAAACCAACATTGGTAATGAAGCATATACCTGAGTATTGGATTTTGCTGTTATTCGACTGAGATACCTAAAATTTATGTCTTTTGACAAAGTTATTAGCCCTGTTATATTTAATGCAATTAAATAGAAGGAGTCACTTAGAAGAATACAATGTTTAGATGTAGTAGAGTTTTCTGACTTTCCTCCAGCTAATGGTCAAAGCCCCTTAAAATAATCACCCCTGAAGACGCGTGTTAAAAGCGTTCATAAACCAACAGTGACAGTAGTTCTCCTGAACCAGATATGGAGAGGTATCACCAGTGAAGTATTGATTTTCGTGTTTAATTTTCGCTTTACATGGTATCTTTGTTAATTTTACTGAGCATTTTAAGGATAGATTGCTGTATCTGCACAGGAATAGCTCTTGTGGATTGAGCGTTCAGTGCAACAACATGTGTGGAGACACCCACTGCGTGGCATGCACTGGGCTGCTCGTGCTGTGTCAGGTGCCGTCGAGTCAGCGCGACTCACCACCCATGTACCCCACAACAAACCGCTATACCAGGCACCAGCAGTTATTTCTCTAAAGAAAACGAAAAGCCACTGTTACGTGTTTTTGCTTGGTTTTTAATGATAGACCAAATTAAGAAAGGTGTATGTAACGTGGAGGATTTGGGGTTAGAAGGAGAAGCACATGTTTTATTGTAATCTATGATGATGTGCCAACACTTTTCTGTGTTTACTTCATTCATTTCATGGCTTTCCTATTGAGTAAACAGTGGTATTTGATAGAAAGGACTAAATATCAACAGATTTGTCATCAGAATCTTAGGGAGCTTTAGTATGACTTTCAGATATACCCGTGGATCCCACATAGAAAGAATTTGGGGTCACAAATGTTTAATGATTAACCTACCACATTCTCCCTCTTTGGTAATGAGAGCAAAGGTGATCCTTCCGTTTCCCCAGCCCACAGGCAGATGGTGGCAAACAGCCCATTGATGGGACAGGAGAAGGATTTGAATTCAAGAACATGCTTTATAACGGCTGGGTCAGAGGCTAACTTACTTTTCTGGCTGTATATGTTGTATCTAAATTTCCATTCACTAAACATTTTAGGAAAAGGCTCTTCTTAAAAATCTTTATTTTTCTCTTATTGCTTAGTGTATATATATGTGAATGTTCCTAAAGTGATTTATAAGAAACTCGGCATCTTTTCCACTATTCCCAGAGCTGTCACTGTAAACTGTCTTCCTATCCCGCCCTCCCTTTCCACTGCCATCCATTCCGTAAAGGCAGCTGGGGCTGATAGTTCCACACCGTGGAAAGTCACAGCACGCAGAGGGAAGTCCTTGATAAGGATTTGTATTTGGAGTGGTCTTTTCTAATGTGTTAAGCCCACCACCTAGAATGAGCGTTCACCTTCTCCTGTTGTTTTAAATTCACTAAGCATGCCAAGAGTCATGCATGTTAAGCATTCTCTTTACTGATTATATTTATAGATATATATATATTTTTTTTAATGTGTGTATTTTAGCCTCTTGTAGAAGAAGCAGTTCCTCACCTTCACAGCCCACCAACCACAAGCACCTCAGCCCTAAACAGCCTAGTGGTCTCGTGTGCATCTGCTGTGGGTGTGAGAGTGGCTGCTACTTATGAAGCTGGGGCCTTGTCTCTTAAGAAAGTGATGAACTTCTACAGCACAGCCCCTTGTGAAGCTGGAGCTCAGGCCGGCAGCGGCAGTCCCCTAGGCCCAGAAGGACCGAAAGATAGCCGCGAAGAACAGGTGAAACAGGAATCAATGCAAGGAAAGAAAAGCTCAAGTCTTGTGGATATCAGAGAGGAAGAATCAGAGGGAGGCAGCCGAAGACTCTCTCTCCCAGGATTGTTGTCACAAGGTAAGGCAATAACCAGGCTTTGTGAACCCCAGCTGCTCCTGACCCCACAAGCTGCAGTGCAGTGTGATTTTCATTCCTAATCAATAAAGCTGGCATCTTTAATGTCAAATTTTTGTTGAATTTTGGCCAGCTTAGTGGATGTGCTTGGTCTCATTAGTACTCTCTGCTTTTCCAGAACTCTACTTTTCCTCTAGGTTCTATAATTCGTTGCAGGGGCCACACAGAACTCACAGGTAATGCTCACAATTAGAGGGTTTATTGAGGAAGTTAACAGGTAAACAGCACAGGTGAGAAATGCTCAGGATACAGGTATTCAGCCATGGCATGCTATAAAGTTACTTCTGAGCTGCTGATAAATCCCCAAAGGGCATATCACTCTGTTATAAGCCTCAACCCAAAGGCCTTCTCTCAAGCTCTGTGGATCAGTGAACCCTGCTCTCCAAACTATGACTAGAGGTACCCTACTCCAGTAAGCCTCAAGCTGAAGGCACTCAGCTCTACCTCTGTGGGTCACCAAGCCCTGATTAAGTGCGCTGTGGCACCCCACTTCATAAGCCAGCCTCCTGCAGTTAGCGTAATGTGCTCTGTGGGCTGGAAGTCCACACTGCTTCATGCTCCAGTTGCTGGTTCTGCACTGCTGGGATGTCACAGCTGCCGCCTGAATCAAGAATGTCCACCTCACAGAATCTTAGGGTCCATAGGACAAGCTCCGCTCCTGGCTCTTGCTGGTTCCTTCCTTCTGCTTCTCAGAGGGCTCATTTTATGAGCAATAGGATGGCAATCACCATGAATCTTGTCACCTTTTACTCACAGTTGAATACTGTAAGTATATGTTTGACATATCAATGCTGAAAAAGGTTAATTTTTGGGAGGTGCACAGACTATGGCTAGAAGAAACACATTAATGATTCACAGGCAATGGATTTTAAAGGAAAGTGAATTATTTCTGTGCTGGTGGCGTGCTGCGGTAGCCTGCTAGGTCTGCAGGTTGAACCACCAGCCAAGGCTCTCTACTCCCATAAAGATTTTCAGACTTGGAAACCACAGGGGCAGTTGTACTTTATGCTGTAGGGTCACTATGAGTAGGAGTTTTGTGTTTTGTTTGGAGAGTCAGATGTAACATGATCTGGATGTCTGCACCTGCCAATGAGCCTCCTTTATCTAGAATTTCGCATTAGCCTCCTTTCCTCCTCTCCCCGCCCCCCGCCCCCACCTCCTTGGGGCCTATACTCCAGAGATGAAGTTGCAGAATAAAAAGAGAAGTCCCTGCCAATGTCCTTTCCCTACACTTGCCTTGCTCCACGCTTTTCTGTCATTGCACTATTCTTAGTTACCTCCGCCAATAAAACCTTCAGCCAGCCCTGATGAATTTGAATATGTATGTATGCATGTAGTGTGTAAGAAAGTATTCTGTATTCTGTTAGGATTAGAAGAACCTTTCGCTTCTGACTTTTTTTTTTTTTTTTTTTTCGCTTCTGACTTTATGTTCTGAAAAACCTTTAGCATTCCAAGTCTAAACATATTTGACATTTCCTGAACAACTTTTGGGGAGTACTGGTTTTTATCCTGTCATTGCACCATATGAAATACTCTTTCAGTTTAAGGGGCATCTTTACACAGATTACAGTTTTTCTTACTAACTTCATAATGTCGCTGGCGTTTGCCTTCTCTCTTTTAAATGATCTGGAACACATCCTTGAGGCAGCACCAAGCAGGTTTCTTAGAGTCACTAGACACACAGGTGGATAATACGTTCACCAGAAAAGATGTTGATTCCAGCCCCTGATCATCACTCTCTTGTGGCCCACAAGTTCATGACTAACAGAGTTGACATGCAGTGACATTTAATGACCTTAAAGGCATGCACACCAGAGTCATGTGTGAGGTTTACATAATGCATGCTTTTGCTGAAATTGTGCCACTCTAAAAGGAACATGGCAGCATTCTTCTAAAAGGTCATTTAAACTCTACATAAAATCATTTGAAATATTCAGACATGTAAAAATGTTTGTATTTTAGTATGTTTGTAGTATTTTTTCTCACCATGAAACTCACTGCCATCGAGTCAATGCTGACTCATGGTGACCATACAGGACAGGGTAGAACTAGCCCTGTGAGTTTCCAAAACTGTCACTCTTCATGGGAGTAGAAAGCTCCATCTTGCTCCCTCTGAATGCCTGGTGGTTTCCAACTACTAACCTTGCAGTTACCAGCCCAACACGTAACCACTGGACCATCAGGGCTCTCTTTCTCACCTGATATACTTGTTAATTTTATACTGTAAAGGAATTCTTTTTTTATCACTATTTGTGATAGATTCGAATAGCCATTAACTTGTTAATTTTGCTTTGAAATGGAAAAACACTCGTCAGTCTTAGTGTTGTATTTTGTTAAGCATCTTTGTATGCAAAGCCCACAGGATGTCTAGAAGAAAGGATTCTGTGGCCCATTGTGTGCAGGGCTGGATTAAAAACATTTCACCGGGCCTTTCACTGCAGGACTTGTCAGTACCTTCAGCCTGCTACTGTGTATGTGAATCTCTGCAGCGAGGCAGAAAGAAGGGAATAGGCTAAATCACTTATTTGTTTATTTATTTTTGGAGAAACGATATTGAACATGCTTCTAAGATGCCGTGTTGGTGCATTTCTGTGAAAATCAGGGGCTCAGTGATAGCTTCTTTTCTCGATCCCCACTCTCTTGTTCTCAGTCTCCCCCCGGCTCTTAAGAAAGGCTGCTCGGGTGAAAACGCGGACAGTGGTTCTGACCCCCACATACAGTGGAGAAGCGGATGCCCTCCTGCCTTCTCTGAGAACAGAGGTGTGGACGTGGGGGAAAGGGAAGGAAGGGCAGCTCGGGCACGGCGATGTTCTGCCCAGGTAAGTGCTACCTACCTGTTGACTGGCAGGCATTGATTTACATAACCTCCTTCCTGCCTCTGAACCCCAGCAGGAAAGACTATGGCAGTCTCTTAATCTCAGTTTCCTCTTAGAAGAAATAAGGCCCTCTTAAGCTCTAGATTATTCTGTTATGACCAGATAAAAAGGCTAGCCTTGAATGTGTTTCCGTGGGACACCTTTTCACCTCTTCTAATCTCGGCATACTACAAGGGATGTTGGCTGAATGCGGCTGAGCACAGACAACCAAAGTAAAACCCCAGTGTGGGAGCACATATGCATGGGTGTAGGCAAGCATGTGTACAGATAAAAATGTAACTATACAAGTATGTGAGTGCAAGCACTTAGTGTCATTTGAAGACACACATACGGGTACTCTTCAGACATAACCAAACATCTTCCAACAGTGGTCTTGTGGGTTCAAAGGCTTGCTGTGAGGCACCATCCAGTTGGCTCCAATCATAGCAACCATATGCCCAACGGAATGCAGCACTACCCAGTCCGGCACCATCCTCACAGTGGTTCTGTTGCTTGAGCCCATTGTTGGCATCACTGTGTCAAGCCTTAGAGCCTAGGGCCTTCCTGGTTTTTTGCTGCCCTTCTACTTTACCAAGCATGGTGTCCTTAAAGGCTTAGGACAACTATAGTCTCGTGGGATAACTTAGTCAATTGGCATAACATATGGAGTGAAGTGAGTAGTGTTTCTGGGATCTTAAAAGCTTTCACGTGGCCATCCAAGATGCAGTTATCAGTACCCACTTGCAGGAGCAAAAAGGTTAAGAGACGTGCAGAGAAGGAACACGTTAATAAGTGAGACCAGACCTTGAGACCCGAGCTGGATGTGACTGGCCACCACCACTGACCATTCTGACCTGGATAACAACAGCTGCTCCTGAATAAAATGAGAAAAAAATATTTTCTCTCAACATTTTTATTTCAAAATAATTATAATAAAGAAAGCCAGACAAACTGGAACAGCAAAGAATAGAGGACACTTCAAGACTGTCCCCAAGACATTTTTTAAACTTAGGATTGATTCCCTGAGATCACCTTTTAGTGAAAGAGCAGGGTGGCACACAGCATAAAGGATCTGACCCTTAAGAGGACGCCTTACTTAATCATCCATATGAGACCCAATGTCAACAATTGAGCAAAACCCAGACGCGGGTAGTGTTGGAAATGAGTGTGGGACAGGGAGCGGACTAGACACAGAGCGAAGGCTGACACGTTGTGATAAGTTAACGTCACTGAGCACTTTGTATGGAAATCGTCCGTGGAACCTAATGTGATGTATAAACTGTCACCAAATATTGATTTAAAGATGTGAAGGGAGTGTTAAGGATAAGATGGTATTTCCTTGGTACAATGGGATGGTTTCACTTTTTTAGCTTATAAAATAGACAAAGCTGGGAATAAACTAAGGTGCTTTTTACCAAAAATAATATAAAAGAACCAACGTATTTTAAAATTAATTGGAATGTGTACATTTATCAAATCATTCCATAGTTCAATAACATCCAGCAAAATTGTACATTTACTGCCACAATCCATTCCCAAACACTCTATCTATATGGACCCCTTGACGTCATCATCCCTTCACCGGCCACCACCTCTGTGTCCCACTACCTCCCCCAAACCGGATTCCACTTGCTGTTCATCATCCCTGGTTTTCTTACCCCCAAAAGCGAATAAACATCGACTGCAACTTCAGAACCTTTGTATTTTTATACTGAAAGATGTCTCTGCTGCTGCCAAAACAGCCGACATTAAACTAGGTCTGTCCATATGCATTGGAATCCCTGGGTGGTGCGAATAGTTAACATACTCTGCTGCCAATCGAGAGGTTGGAGCTTCAAGTCCACCCAGCAGCATCTTAGAAGATGCTGATCCGTTTCTGAAAAATCACCCACTGAAACCCTGGGGAGCACAGTTGTAGTCTGACACGTGTGGCGTCACCACCAGTCGGAACTGACTTGATGCCGGCTCAGTTGGTCTCCCTCCATGTACATTAGAGAAACTAATAGATAGTAATTGGGAGAAAGGTGAAATTTTCTGCTTCCTTAGAGATTGACAGTCTCAGAAATTTCTACTCTGTCCTATAGGGTTGCTATGTGTTGAAATAGATTTGATAGCAGTGTGTTTTCTTTGAATGACTGATATTAATAAATTAGATAGCTGCAAACTTTATAGGCATGTAAATATAAATCATAAAACAGCCAGTCAATGTGAATATGTCAGTTCTTAGCAGAGTGAAGCCACCTATAATTT